CTCAGAAGGTGGGTGGGCTCTCCATTTGAGGTTTTTAAGCAGAAGCTCAACAGCAATTTATCAGGGATATTGTAGCAGTAGATATTTTGTATAAGCAGGACGTGGACTAAATGATCTTTGAAATCCCTTCTCACTCTATGGTTCTATGATTATCAGAAATGACCTCTAGAAGTACAGTCAACCCTCGACTTACGAAGAGCCCTACTTGCGATAAATTCAACTTACAAACCGCCCGATATGCTGGGGAATAAAGCTGGAAATAAAAAATTGCTACTTTTCCCTTGCCCCCGGGAGGCTTCTGAAAGCGGGGGGAGCTTTATTCCCCTGCCTTTTTAGGTGATGAGCAAGTCTCTAGAAGCCTCTTAAGAGCCAGCTGATCAGCTGTTAGGCGGAGAGAAGGCGGGCAGGAGCGGAGAAGAGCACAAAATGGCTGCCAGGCTCCCTGCTGGGTATCGTCTTTTAGCTGTTTCGTGCTCTTTTCCTGCAGTTCGGGGGCTACCAAGACCTGGTAAGTGACTTTCTTTTATTTATTTTTAAGTTTCTGACCTCCCCCCCATAGGAACACATTAATTAATTTTCAGTGCCTTCCTATGGGAAATTTGGTTTCGACTTACGAACGTTTCAACTTACGAATAGACTTCCGGAATGGATTAAGTTAGTAAGTCGAGGGCCCACTGTATGTCCACGCATTGCTGGGTAGTTCAGTGGTTTAGATGTCTGGTTGGCCGTTTGATTCCCCACTAGGCCTTCTTGACAGGCTCTGGACCTCAGTGATCCATAGGGTTCCTTCCAGCTCTGCAGTTCAAAGATTCACCATGGAGTATTGCCATAAAACACTTTTAGGTGTTAAAAGAACATGTGGACATCCCCAATTAATGAGCCTGCTCTTGCTTTTAGCTGATAAATAACTCTCTGCCAGGCAATTGTCTCACCATCAGTTTCATCCAGGGGGGAAGTATGGGGCAAACCATCAGACCCTCCAGGGCAGAGGTACCCATGCTGCCACCAGTCAAAGGCAGTTTCTTGAAATCCACCTGGTTGCCTTTCCAGCTGCTGTGGTTTAAGTTCTCTCTCAGCTCAAATTTCCCTCTCACAGCCATTCACAAAAGCATTGAAATCTATTCTTGCAGGGCAATCAATAAACTTTTGTTCCCCACCAAAGCAGCCTGGTCATGGAAAAGAAACACAAGAAAAAGGGGGAAGCGTGAGAGCTGCTCCCAGTGAAAAGCTGTGAACTATCAGGGGCAGAGATGACCTCATACATGAAAGCAGAACAAGTCTAACAGGTGGTAACTGAAGCTGCAGATGGGAGACATTTTGAATCAATATTATGGGTGTTGGGGGCTGGTTGTTGTTTTTTTTTACGTGCAGTCAAGTCAGATCCAACTTATAGCCACCCTAATAGGGGTTTCAAGGTAAGTTAGATATTTAAGGAATTGTTTTACCAGGTCCACTCCCCCAGTCAGTTTCCATGGCTGACTGGGGATTTGAACCCAGGTCTCTTGAGTCCTAATCCTTTACTCTGTCTACTACACCACACTGGGTAGTAGGGAACCCAGGTCTCTTGAGTCCTAATCCTTTGTCTACTACACCACACTGGGTAGTAGTACTGGGGACCGGAAGTTGCTAATAATTCATATAACACCTTTAACATGTAAAAGTGTTTTGTAATTATTACCTCATTCATGTTTGCAGTTTTCTAGGCAATGAGGAAGCAAGCAATAGAGGACAGATTTATGAATGGGGGAGGCAAGGCAGGAAACAAGTAGGTAGCTCTCTGCTTGGGGCACTCTGGTTGGGCCAGACAAATGCAGAAATTTGCCTTATATCCTTTGAGACCTTTAGTCCATCCACTCTGGCTGTCAGTGGCTCTTTAGTATTACTGGAAGAAGTCTCTCTCCAGCCATGCTACACAATAGCCTTTTAACTTAAGATCCCAGACGGTACACTGAATGTTCTGTTTGACAAAACTGCTTTCACTGACCACAGCTCTCAGAGTCTCTTCACTATGTTCCAAGCTCTGGATTTATTTAATTTTTTTTTTTTGCAAAAAAATTTAAAATAATAATAAAAAACAAACAAAGAAAAAAACCATATAATTTACCTAAGGCCAAACCTACCATTATGTAGAGTGGGATTGTTGTCTTAGGCAGCAAATGCTTAGATGGTGTGACTGGGGCAGCAGCAGCAGGAGCCCCCTAGCTCTTCCTGTCTGCCAGAAAACAGAGTGATGTGCTTCTTTAAGAAGTGGAGGAAGCCGTCTTGAGTGGGGACAGCAAAATGCCTGCCTGGGGCTATCCCTAATTTAACTACTAAGAACAAACATAAGAAGAGATCCCTGGAACATACTACAGTACGGTGTTTCCCCAAAAATAAGACAGGGTCTTATATTAATTTTTGCTCCTAAAAACACATTAGGGCTTATTTGCAGGGGCTGTTTCATTTTTTTCATGTACATCAATCTAATATATTCAAATACAGTCACGTCATCTTCTGGTTGCTGCACAATGGTGTAGGGCGGGGTTTCACTTAATTGGGGCTTATTTTGGGGGAAGGGCTTATATTACGAGCATCCTGAAAAATCATACTGGGGCTTATTTTCAGGTTAGGTCTTATTTTCGGGAAAACGGTAACGATCCCTCTAGTTTGCCCATCCCCATCCTGGTGCTCTTTTATATGGACAAAATTATCTTGTCCAGTTATCCTATTTCAACAGAAATCTGGTGCTTCTGGGAAGCCCCCAAACAGGACATGAAAGCTCTCCCCCATGGTTTGTCCTCAGTGAGTGGTGTTCAGATATCTGCTGCCTCAGAGCACAGATTTTTCATGGAGGTACCCCAACTGTTGACCATTCACAAGCTGATCATAGCTTTTTCTGTAAGATCCCTATAGTTTTTTTAAAGAAATGAAGAGCCCAAAAATAGAAATGCTGATAATGCTGATAGTAAAAAAAAAAAAAGAAAGAAAGAGAGAGAGAGATAAATGGTTCTCTTTCTCTGCAGTTACAGTCATATATATTATAATTAGAAATGTTGCAGCTGAGCAGCACAGTCTCATGTCTTGCTGCAAAGCAATGTGCGATCCACACTTTACGAGGATTCAGGTGCTGCATGGTCTTGAACAGCAACCCAAACATTAACTCAGAAGAGGGCACAGTGACATCCACATGCGTGGATGATAGTCACTGACCCAAATAATGTATACAGAGAAAGAAAATGCACCCATACTTTGAGAAGGACCCAGTTATTTGTCTTATACGGAAGACACCTCCCTTTCAGATATGGCTGTCTTAGGGCAGAACTAGTCCAAAATGATATCCCAAGAGACAAGAGAGTTTTCCACTTATCTGTCTCTATTACTGTATTGCCAGATGCACTCTAGTTCAGCTTCATAAGACGCTAAAGGGGTCCAACAAGAGGTGTCGAACTCTATGCTTGGCTCAGTATAATGCCAATGTCCTTTTAATAGATTCACAACCTACGGTGAGGGTGAGCTTTATCAGCAGTCTTTGGGGTCTGCCCTGCAATGGTCAGTTGTACTCTGGAAGCTGCTGGAATAAATTGGTTGCTGTGTGGAGCGATCTGCAAGAGTTTATGCACTGATTCCCTGTAGCCTGGATTCTTCTGGGTGGCTCTTCTACGACTGCGTCTCCATTTAACTATAGAACTCTGATTACAGTTTAGTATGGCCTGTTTCCTTCTTTCTTTCTGCCTTTGTGTGTCTTTAATCATATAAAAGTTCCATGCCAAAGCAAACAGCTAGACTTTGGTCTGATGCAAGCGGCCATTTCATACTGCTAGCAGCCACCTGTTAATGAAATGGTATAACAGTGCACATTTGACATTTTGGTGGCAGAAGAGGTGCTTATCATTTTATTCTGTCTCCCAAGTTATGAATCCAGGTGTTTGGAGGAGAGCCACTATGATTCCCAGCTCCTTCCTGACTTGCTAAATACAGGATGATGTAGCCACTGAAGCAGCATAGCCTAGCTACATTACTGTCAGGATCTTGTGTAGGATCAAGCTGCCTCACCAGTTAAGATTTAAGATGGTCACACACTATCTGACACACCAGACCTGGGCAAAGTGTGGCCCGAGGGCCACATATGGCCCGCGAGCAGCTCCTGTCTGGCCCGCGGATAATTTTGAACATCAAAACCATTTATAACTTTTTGTATAAAGTTGATCAGTTGCTTATCTTTAACATACCGCAAAAAACCTCTTTAGTATTTGTGAAGATTAACAAGTTTAAAATAAAAACAATCATAACATCACTGTTTCATTTTATTTTCAAGTAAAGTTGGTTCGGCCCCCCGAACACAGTTCAGATTTTTCATGTGGCCCCCCTATAAAAATTAATTGCCCACCCCTGTGAATACATAGTTGTGATCAGTAAAACATAAGCTCTCCATCAGCTATGCATATTAAAGAGATTATGTTGACCCACCTCTGCCAACTGCTTTAATTGTGCAGATGAAAGTTGCCAGCTACAGGGAGAGAGTTATTAGTGCTGTTAGTTTCCCCACAATCCTTTTTTTTGCACACTTTCATCCACCTAAGCAAGCATCTAGCCTGATTCCGCTGCTTTTTCCCTCTATTCATCTATCATTCTGATTATTGCTGCTTCGCTTCCTCGTAAACAACGTACAGTGACTAACCAACCACTTCAAATCCTTCTAGAAGAGGATTTTCATCAAACCTTCCTTACACATTGATTTCTACTGTCATAAACTTTTTGGAGCATGAATCTTAATGACCTTGCGCAGTTAATCAGCTGCATGCTATGCTATTGATGTTCTCCAAATATGCCATTAAGATGATGTTTCTGACTGAATTCATCCTTGCGACTGGCTTAAGGCATGAACATGCGATGAAAGTGCACCTTTCTGAATTTATGGTTTCCAAAGGAATATGATGAGATCAAGATCTATGCTTCTGGGATTATCAAAAGTAAACCCAAATGTATCACATGGTGCACTAATGTGAATCTGTGTTTTATAGGTAGCCTCCAGGAAGAGAAGGTAGTGAAAATATACCTACAGCTTCTAAGGAAGATGTTCCCAGTGTCCCCACCCATCAGAAAGGAGTGCTGCCAACTCCAAGCTGTGTTTTAATTCTACAGTTTAATTCGGGCTGGTAGGTTAATTCAAAAATGTTTATTACAAGGGACTTCCCTTGCGTTTTGTTTTGAAGTAATTTAGTACATACATTCATATAACATAGTGCATTTCCTCTATTCCAAAAACCACTGAATTTTCTGTCTGGAATTTTAATATGCCAGGCATCATTGTAAGGATGTACACTTAAACAGAAGATATTTCATGCCGATTTGCTGTGTTTTGGTGCTTTGGAGTGGGATGGGGCAGGGGGGAAAATACTATAACAGCTTTGAAGCACTAGATTCTTCCACGTCTGAAATGACATGTCAAGTTATGCATTCCTTATTTAAAGAGGCTTCTCATTTGTTGACTTCCCCTGAATAGGCTTAGGAGGTACTTTAATTGACCCAGGGTTGCTTCTAACTTTCAAGCGACATGGAAGTTGTTCACAGTCAAGATGGTTTCTAAAACCGTTAGTGACAGATGTATGTCTGCAAGCATAAGCACCCAGAAGATTCCCAGTATTTGATCATGGAACTCATGCCTTTGTTGGAAAGTGAACCTATGTCTAACTCCAAAATCTTCAGTACAGTCAGAAGTTTAATGAGCAGCTATTGACAATTGTTTTAATTTGGTAGCCAAAGGTTTTTAAATTAGTCCAGGTGCTGAAATTAGTATGAGTGGGAGGGTGACCTGATTTTGCGTCCATTTTCTTTTAATATCTTGCTTTGTTTGGTACTTTGTAACTTTTGTACTTTCTAAGCTTTTGAGGTTGCTTGTTGACAGAACTCCACCTTCTATCGAGCATGTTTTTCGAAAACCAATTAATCCGTTCTGGCTGTTTTTTTGTTATGTAGAGGTGCGTTTGTACATTGAAGCATTAGTTCCCATAGGAAGTAATGCAAAGCTGGTCAATACGTACTCTACCACTAGGGGAAGAATTTTTTTTTTTAACCTAAGATGACTTAAGGTTAAAAAAAGAGCAGGAAAGGTTTTTTTTCCTGTTCTTATCTTGGATTTCTGTTCTCAAGTAGAAGCAAAATTTAGCAAATGGAGCTGTTCTTAAGTTGGATTGTTCTTAAGTAGGGACGTTCTTAAGTAGAGACCCCACTGTAGTCCAGGTGCTGAAATTAGTATGAGTGGGAGGGTGACCTGATTTTGCGTCCATTTTCTTTTAATATCTTGCTTTGTTTGGTACTTTGTAACTTTTGTACTTTCTAAGCTTTTGAGGTTGCTTGTTGACGGAACTCCAGCTTCTATCGAGCATGTTTTTCCTTTGTTGCTTATCCAGAAGTATAATATCCCACTTATTAAAATGAACTGTTAAAATGAACATTATTAAAAGGAACTCTATAAGTTGCTCATCCGAGTATAGTATTGCCATTTCATTTTCTAAAATTGGAGGTGGCATAATATGGAGGTAAATATCTGAGTAACACATAAGATTTGGCTAACGAGTGAAAAATTATCTTTATAACTTGGTTAGGCCTGCACATGTAATCTGTTGATGATGGTTTGGGGCATCCACCTATTATATAATGAACTGTTTCTATTGTTGTTATTAGTTGATTTACCGTTACCCTGACATACAACCCTGCTATCATATCCATATAGATCTCTGAGGCCTGAAAATAGGACAAAAAAAAATAGCAGGAATCAGAAGCAGGAAAAGACTAAATGGGATCCAGAGCTGTGAAAGAGGGTTTTAACAGTAAGGAAGTAATAGCTGCATTAGTCCAGATCTTGGAGAAGGCACCATTTTAGACTATAGAATCTCCTAGCTTTCATTGTGGAAATGCTGGCTAGGGAACTGAGAAGAGGTGACTTTTCTAGGCTTTTATGGCTGCTATAAACAAGCAAATGCAGCAGAAATAGCATGCTGTCCAACAGGACTGCTTTGATACAAGCAGGGAAAACAGAGGTGCAGCATGCTGTATGTTCTCTATACCAGATCAAGACACTCCATATCTCTTTGCCCATGAGCGCAAGAGGAATCCGTTGCTTTTTTCCTGAGGGAGGTGAGACCAAGCAATAGGGAGGTGTCCTATTTGAACTGTACCTATATTGACAGACAGGTCCTAGCCTGTCCTGACAGAAGGAATTCCTCTCTTCTAGTTCTCACTGTGTTCGGCAGGTTTGTCCCTCCTTCAGCTCTGTGTGCCAGATGGGACAAAAGCAACACATTTTGTTCTTTGGGGGGGGGATGTATTTGCCCAGGAAAAGACAAGTTGGCTTGTTTGGAGAAGTGTGCAGTACACTACAGTCTCACATTCTGGTGTAGCCCTCATGAAGACATACCTCAGAGCTTTTCATGAAGGATTTACTCCCAAGTAAGTGGCTGGCGAGGTGCTTGGGTAAGCACACTGTCATCCTGAAGCAACTCTGTGAGGCCCTTGAGAGTCGAGGAATGTTTGGGGAGCCACTGTTGCCATTATTGGGGGGTGGGGAGAGGGACGAGCTGCCGCCACCCATCACCAAAGAGTGGACTAGGAACATGGAGACAATGAAAGTGAGAAAGTGCTCTCCCCCTGGCCAGCTTTCTTCTGACCAGGGAGAGGGCAGGGCACAGGCAGGGAGTGAGTGGCAGGCTGGCCCAGAAGGAGCCGCCCTCTCTGAATCAAGTCCCTGCACATCATGAAGGAGCTGGGTAACTCTGGAGGAGTAGGAGGGCACAGGTGCCCTGGCACCCACCCTCTTCGGAGCAGCTACTAGGTAGCAGCAGTAGCTGAAGGTGACACGGGCAGAAGAAGCAATTGAAACCAGAGATATTACTAGGGAAGAATGCAAAAAGACAATTCCTGTAGTAAACAGAAAAAAAACCTAGGTGGATGATGGAAGAAACACAGGAAAGTGTAAAGCAAATGTAAAGCTGGAAGCAAAAGTAAAAGAGGACAGATACAGGGTCAGAATCCTGAATGCAGCTTTTCAGAGACTATCACAAAGAGACAAAGAGAACTATTACAATTACCAACATAAGTAAACAAAGGGAAATGTAAGTCTAGATTTGGAATGCTGAATCGGTCACAGGGAAGCCCGTTACCTGATCAAGAGGAAATACAGAAGGTAGAAACATTGTACTGCAGAAGTAGACAGAAGAGATAAAGGGACGACAGAACCCTTTGAAGAGGAATCCTATGATGAAGAACCTGCAGTTCTAGAAAGTGAAGTGAAAGCTGCTCCAAAAGCAGTACAGGAGACCAGGCAGCCCCATCTTCCCTCTCCTACCACAAGCAGATATTGTACTGTAAAGAACTTCAGGCAAGCCTTTGCTCAGTAGCCAGCTACCTGTATGTGATTTTTTAAGACTGATTGTTATGCATAACTGCTTGGACTGGATTTTTAGTACTATTTGTGTTTTCCAATTTTGTGTTTTCTATTTCTCAGAGTAGCAATTTTTTAAATTGTATACTTATTGGTCTTAGCTTTTATATTGTCTTTTAATAATATAAGAGGCCTCTTTACTCTTTGTTCTTAGCTTTCAATATTGTCTTTTAGTGATGTTAACCCCCATTCTAGCCAGTTTGTTTTCAACTTTAAATATTGTATTTCACTGTTGTGAGCTGCCTTGGGTCCTTTTCACGGAGAAAAACAGGGCAGAAAATATTTTAAATAAAAACAAACAAATAAAATATCAACAGACTTATTTCAAGCCACAGACAAGGAATCTATCAAAATCCTTACAAGAATATGCCAACAAATATGGAAAACAAAACAATGGCCCACAGACTGGCAATTTTCAATAGAAATTCCAGACCCCAACAAAGGAGATGCCAAGGAGTGCAGTAAGTGTAGGACTATTGCTTTAATTTCTCATGCAAGCAAAGTGATGCTCAAGGTGTTGCAGCAAAGATTTTTACCTTACATGGAGTGAGAAATTACTGATGTTCAAGCTCGATTGAGAAAAGGAAAAGGAACCCAAGATCATATTGCAAATATCTGCTGGCTACTGAAGCACACCAAAGAATTTCGGAAAAAGATCTGTAGATGCTTTATAGACTATAGCAAAGCCACTGGTGGTTTGAATCATGAGAAATTATAGGTTGTTCTGAAATAAATGGGTGTGTCTCAGCACTTCATTGTTCTGATGCATTATCTAAATAATGAAGAAGAAGCTACCATTAAAACAGAATATGGAGAACAGAATGATTGCCTACAGACAAAGTTGTTAGACAATGATATGTTTCATCCCCTTATATGTTAAATCTGTACACAGAACATATTATATGGAAAATCAGACTAGATTCAGAAAGAGGAGGAGTGAAAATTGGTGGAAGAAATATCAATAATGTAAGATATCCAGATGACATCATCTTTCAAGCAGAAAGCAGCAATGTGGAAACAACTTAGGATGAAATTGAAAGAGGAAAGTTCCAAAGCAGGTTGAAATCAAATTTCAGATTAAGAAGACAAAAATAATGATTACAGAAGAACTACACAATTTTAATGATGACAGTGATGAAATCAAAATAAAAAAATTGTATGCCTTGGTTCAACTATCAATCCAAATGGAGAATGCAGCCAAGAAATCAGAAGCAGATTGAGACTCAGAAGGGCAGCAATAAAGGAATTAAAAAATATTATCAAGTGTAAGGATATGTCACTGGAGACCAAGACCAAGCTCATTCACACTCTTGTATTCCTGATTACTATGTACACATGTGAAAACTGGATAGTAACGAATGCTGACAGGAAAAAAAATGATTTGTTTATATGGTGCTAGGGGAGAACTTTGCAGAAACCCTGAACTACCAGAAAGATGAACAAGTGATCAAATCAAACCTGAACTGTCTCTGGAGGCAAAAATGTTGAAACGGAGGCTTTTCTACTTTGGGTACATTATGAAAAGGCAGCATTATCTGGAAAAGATCACAGTGCTGGGAAAGGTGAAAGGCAGTAGGAAAAGAGGAAGACCAAATGAGAAATGGATCAACTCCCTAAAGGAACCACAGGTTTGAGTTTACAAGAGCTGAGCTGGGCTGTTGAGAACAGGACCTTTTGGAGATCATTCATGGAGTCGCCATAGATTGGAGGTGAAGT